TATAGATATAGATATAGATATAGATAAATAAGATAAAAAATTTTTAAATTAACTAGTTTATAAAAATTATAAATATAGCCTATTATATATATTATAATCGAAGATGTAATTTAACAGGTTTTATCCGAAAAGTATATAGCATTTTGATGATTCAGCTCACTATTACTGTTGGTTTTATAGCTTTATTTTTATACGAGTAAGTACTAGTACATAATATTAAGCCCTTTAGAACTAATTTTGATAATTAATATATAAATGATAATTTTGTTTATTAATTAAAATATTAAGTTATAAAAAGAATCTTTATTTCAAATTGTAATATTTTAGGGAAAACACCAAGATGTTTGTACAGCAACATAAAGAACTGGTATGGGTTTCTATGTAAGTTTTTTTTTTTTCATTTAATCACTTATTTTATTTGATTGGTTTAGAATATCTAAATTTAATATAAAATTTACAAAGATATTCGTGATTTTTATATTGTTAAATAATCTTTTGGCATAAGTTAAACTTTTTATCAGTTTTTATTTAATTGTTTTTTACTTCATATTCGATTAAATACAGTCGACCTCCCTATAACACTTGATAATTCCGTTTTATATGAATTCCATGTTGAACGAGTCACTTAGATTTTACAAATACGTATGCCGGGCTGTGAACGGCTCACGTATTTGTAAACTCTAAGTGACTCGTACAACATGGAATTCATATAAAACGGAATAATCAACAGTGTTATAGGGGGTCGACTGTACCTGATTAACAGATTTTATGAAGAAACGATCTTATCAATCACAAATTATAATTATATACACTAGAGTTTTAAATTTCTACATTAACTTGATAAAGGTACAACAAAACCATTACCATTGAATGATTGAAAAAGCTATAACCATAGAATAATTACCTGAATATGTAATTTTAATATTTATATACTGTATAATTAATTTTTGAAGAAAATAGTTAAATATATACAGTTTTATTTTATACCATTACGTATACAAAATGTTATAAACTGAATTAGAAAGTAACCAAATAAATTCCATGTACAGTACATACAGAAAATGTGTTTACTTTAATTACCATCCGTCTCCCCCTCTTCACGTCATTTTATGTATGTAAACTGAACAAATGTATATATCATTTGCTTTTGGTATTTTCCATTCAACTAGTAAATTCAGTACAATCCATAGTTATGGACAAGTCGCATTCAGTATCTCACCCTTACTATGAATGGCACACACAGATGAGATTTATTTTACTGCCTGTTACGGGATCTTATTTGATATTTCGGAATGAAATAAAGCTAAAATTACGTATACGCTCACTTTCTGTAATTATATACTTGAGCCGGATGTTTTATTTCTGTTAAAGGGGAGATTGTTTCTGTCCTCTACCATGTAAGAAGAAGTGGCACCATTGTTTGCTTATTTCTAATTATCATACGTTTGTAAAAGGTTCGAAATAACTCTGTGGGAAATACTTGTAATCACTCTATACATAAAACTCAACGTTTAAAATATTGCTGTTAGTTTATCAGTGTTAAATCAAATTACTATTGTAACATAATTTATTTACCATTAAACTGTAATATGTTAACAGATTATCACTTCTAGAAAGTAATGGCGTTTCATTATTAATTTTTTAAAGTATTTATTTTAATTAATATTGTTTTTAATAGAAATTACAACTTTTATCTAATTTTTAGTGGATAGTTTAAAATATGTTTTTTAATAGTTTAATAATGTATAAAAAGTTTTTCTTAATATTTACAGGCAAACAAAAACAGAAGTATATAAAAGAAGTGAAGGACAACTTTAATGATTTTATGAATATTCTTCTGAACTTATTTTTAACATTAAAGTGAATTCAGAAGCGCTTTGTGTACTGTAGATTTGTAAGTAATGATATATTTTAGAACTTTTCTTACTGTTCCAGAACAGTAAATACTTTAATGTTTAATTTTAATAGAATACATAACTTAAATACAAACCCCTCTGTCTCTCGCCCTCTTCCTCTCCCATCCTCTCCTTCTCTATCTCTTTTTCTCTCTATTCCTCTCCCTATCTCTCTCTATTCCTCTCTCTATCCCTCTCCTTCCCCCCCTCTCTCCCTCTATCTCTTTCTCTAATCATTCTCTCCTTTTCTCTTTCTCTCCCCTTTTCTCTTCCTCCTCTGTTCCTCTCTACCTCTTTCTCCAATCTTTCTCTCATTCCCTGTTCCCCTGTCCCTCCCTCCAACTTCTCTCTCCCTCTCTTCTCTCTCTCCTTCCCTCTTTTCCCTCTCTTCTAGTCTATCTCGTTCTCTAACCTTTCTCTCCTTCCCTCTTCCTCCTCTCTCCCCTCTCTCTATCCCTTTCTCTCCTCTCTCTGTCCTTTCCTCTTCCTCTTCCTTCCTATCCCTTTCTCTTTCTCTAGCAATTTGACAACTTATGATTTTAACATTGTTTAAATAAAATTTTTAAAAAGAAATTAAAAAAATCAATTCTTTTCAGATACAAAAATTCCACACGTTAAACTTCATTTTTCAAATACGAGTAAACACTACATGATATATTCATATGAAACCGAAATAATAAAAATACTTGTAATATTTTTATGCAAAATTTAAAATACCGAAACAAAATAAATGAATAAAAAACTTCATAGCCTATAAATGTTTTTGGGTAATAATTTTCAGAACGTAATCTTTATAAAAAAAACAAGTAAACTTAATTATCTCAGTTCATGTATCTTCATTAATTCTGTCATCTGCAAGACATTCGTGACTTATAAGCTATATATGTCGTGCTTATAAATTAAAGAAAGATATAATTTATATAAAAACGACGAGAAAAATGTTACATGAAACTTTAAGATATAAGAAATCATTATTTTTTTTAAAAATTTTTCATTAATTAATTTAATAACAAAAGGATTTACTGTGTATTGGATGGTATGTGAAGTCATAACGTGATATCCTGTCACATAATAAGCTATAATCGTGCAAAAGTTATTTTCAATATATAAAATTTCAAATTGATGAAACCTTAAAAAATATAATTAATGCTGAATGGTTTTAGTTTTCTTTCAAATATATATTTTAAAAATTTGTTTATTACACTTTTGTTTATTACTCCACATACACCATTGTTTATTATGATTAATAATATAAAAGTTATTTTTAAAATAAAATCATAACAGCCAAGAAAGTTATGCAGTTCGTTACTGGATTTTTTTTTTTCAAAAAAGACCTAAGTTTTTAAAGGCATTATTTATTTATTTTTCAAATCTTACATTGGAATTCTCAGTCACATATGTAAAGCAGAAAGACGTTATCTCTGTTAAGAAAATTCAGTATTCTCAATCATAACAATGGCCTGGGGCGATGCACCATGCTGGTGTTAAGTAGTGAATATATAGAAAAATACCTATACTTTCTAAAGACATTAATGTATGCAATAATAGAGACGTTGAAATTTTTATATTGTTTCATTATAAATACATCATGATATTGATACGACGTAACTTAATTAATAATACAGAAAACAAATTAGACTTCTCCCTCTTTCCTCTCTCCCTCTCTTCTTCTATCTCTCCCTCTCTCTATCCCTTTCATATAAAATTAATTTCTGCAAAATTGCAATTACTTTAGATAATTAACTAATAATAAAAGCTAATTAAATTCCTTTCGCTGATGAATTTTTATATTAATTTTTACCTCAAAGTAATTTATTCACGTTACATAATTCCGAAAATAAATATTTATCAATTTTTCTGCATAAACTCTAAAACAGATCTTTCTATAAAAAATTATACATATTTCAGACTTATAAATTCTCAAATTTAACGATAAAACTGATACAAATCCTACGTAATAAACGTATAGAAGCTCGAAACTGTACAGAAATATTTGCTCTGACAAATCGATATTATACATTATTCAGAATATTTTATAGTGTCTTACGAATATTATTTCTTTTACCTTACTTTTATTAAAAAAGATTTTTAGAATTAAAATATTACTTGAAGCTTTATGGCTCCTGTGATTTCGGTCAAAAATTTCTGAAATATTGCAGGTAGGTTTGTTTATTAGGGGGGATTGAAGCTATTAAATGTTAGCTATTAAAGGTCGAGGGGGTGGAGAGATAAAGAAGGTCGTATGTCATATCTCGAGTACGGTCGAACTTGAAGACGATTTTTTAATAAAATTCATCTCTACCCTCAAAATTAAGGTTTTGCCATTTTATAGTAATTAAAAGCATAATAAGTTTTTAAAATGAAATATCATTACAGCTGAAGCCACCAACTTCTAGTGTAGACAGAAATGACGTGATTTGAAATCAAAATTTTCCCTGAAACAGAGTAAGATAGCTGACCGGCACGACTCTCTTGTTATCAGGAAAAGCATGATTTACAGGGGCAAGATATTA